CTATGTACAACAGAATAAAACACTGCCTCTTCCTCCGCCATCCTCACAATCATTGCTATGTTTGAGCCCACTGTTGCAGCCACTGTGTCAATCCATCCCGTTGAGGGTCTTCAACTTTTTTCACTGACCCTCTGCTTTACCAAGCATGATGTCCTTCTCCAGGGACTGGTTCCTCCTGACAACATGTCCAAAGTATGTGAGAGGAAGTCTCACCATCCTCCCTTCTAAAGAGTATTCTCTTTGTACTTCTTCCAGGATGGATTTGTTCATTCTTCTGGCAGTCCATGCTATATTCAATATTCTTTGCTAATGCCATAATTCAAAGACATCAATTCTTCTCTAGTCTTCCTTATTCATTGTCCAGCTTTCACATGCATATGAGGTGATTGAAAATACCATGGCTTCAGTCAGGCACACCTTTGTCCACAATGACATCTCTGCTTTCTAACACTTGGCAGCAGATTTGCCCAATGCAATACATCACTTGATTTCTTGAATGCTGTTTCCATGGGCGTTGATCGTGGATACAAGTAAAATGAAATCCTTGACAACTTTAATATTTTCTTTGTTTATCATGATGTTGCTTATTAGTCCGGTTGTGGGGATTTTTGCTTTCTTTATTGCAGGCATATAGGTTCATATAAATGCTATTCTTTCATGCGATAGTCGTAATATACATTATTCTATGAGAAAGTTAATAATCGTTGCTTTTAAAAGTCCTATGCATTTTAAAGAAGTTAAGAAGAAAATAGAAGTTAATTGTATTTACCTAGATGTTTACCATTTCCTATGATCTTTATTCCTTCCCGAAGATCCATGTTTCTATTTGACGTCATTAACCATCTTGGAGAAATTTTATTTGCATTTCTTTTAGTGCATGCCTGCTAAAGGGAATCAAAATATAATTAGTATCCAGCCCAGCTCTGAACTCACTGCTTTATAGGATAAATACCTATACTAACTAGCTATAATACATCTCAGTATGCCTAAGAAGTTCCTGGTGTAGATCTGTTGCCCTTGCATAATTATTGATAACCTTTGCCATTGAGTTGATTCCAACTCATAGCAACCCTATAGGACAGAGTAGAACTGCCCCATAGTGTTTCCAAGGAGTGGCTGGTGGATTCAAACTGCTGACCTTTTGGTTGGCAGCTGTAGCTCTTAATCACTGTACCACTAGGGCTCCAAATTATTAATAACATTTCTTTTATTCTTAAGTTTCCAGTTTTGGATGATAAATACTGTGATCCCCATTTCATTAAGAAAAGATAGAAAACAAAAAAAGCCACCAGAGAGTGAAGTGCTATAGGCGAGATAAATTCCGTAATTATAGGATCAGGAAGGGGATGGCACTTGCACTGCCATTGTAGAATGTAGAATATAGATTGTAGAATATGGACTTATATAGTTGGTGCAAAGAAAATAATGAGCAAAGTCATGGTAAGAAAAGCATTGTCTCATGTGGTGAACAGGAACTAGTCTAGTTGGCTTGAAACTTAGAGTTTGTATATATGGAGAGTAAGAGGAAATTAGCTTGGACAGATAAGTTGAGCCCAAATAATGGAGTACAGGATAGAACCTCCGGAATGATGAAGAAACTTAGAATGTCTCCTGCAAGCAATGGAGAGCCACTGAATGTTTTAAGAAGAATATTATGCTTAAGTGAGTGCTATAAAAAGCTGGATACTCATATTTCAAATGTCCTTTAAGGTTTTAGAACATCATCAGTACCTCTCTCTGTATATTTTTGCGTATGTATGTTTTAATGTATCTAAGATACTGTTATAATGAGGAATGTAGTACAGAAACAAATGAAAGTAAGCTTGATTATACTTTCTCATTTTGTTGTTGTTGATGGTGATGATGTTGATTATTATTATGATGATGATGCAAAAAGAAAACATGTGCCCTACCTATGAAGTAACATTTTGGTAATTAAATTCATTGATACAATGGGCAGCTTTGACATATATGTCTAATTATATCATTTGGAAGGAAGGATATAAGAGAAGGTTACATCATGCTCAAATGTAATATTTTCTACATCAACAATAATTCAATTTTCTTATTTCAAACCTTAGGCTATTTTGATGAACTTTTACTAAGGCAAATTCAAAATATCTAGAAACAATGCAGGAAAATGTTATGAATATAAATTTTAAATCAAAGAAATTTAAATCACTTCTTTTCCTCTTCTTACATTTACTTCCTCTTCACGGGTAGGGAAAAAAAAGAAAGTGTGAGAAAATTACGTGGTCTGACATTCCAAATCCTTTACGATCTGGTCAAGAACACACCTCTTCAATTTTAAAATACCTCCATAAATTCTCTGCTCCAGCCCATCAATTTACCTTCCTCCCAGTGACTCAAATCTTATAACACCCTTCTTCCCTACTCTTCTTTCGTTATGGATCCCTTAGTGATTATTTCTTTTTCTTAATTCTTTTACTTAATCAACTCTTTTTACACTTAGCTATTAAAGTTTTTTACTCTAATAATGCATACCTTCTGCGTTTGTTTACCAGCTGCACCCTCCTCCCATGAGTTATTTTCGTAAACATGCTATGCTAATTTTTACTGCACCATGTGGAAGAGGATCGACATGGCAGCACTTGTGAGGGTGCCTCACGACGGACGGTAGGGCACAGCTGGCAAGCAAACACAGGAGGTGTGCGCTATTTGCGTAAAAATACAGTACATGTATTATTAATTTACATTATGTATACATTATGTAATTATGTATGTATTATGTAATGTACACATTCAAACTATATTAAATGGCTATAAAGTCAGCAATTTGAACCCACCAGCTGCTCCATAGGAGAAAGATGTTGCAATCTGCTTCTAAAGATTACAGCCTTGGAAACCTTATGGGGCAGTTTTACTCTGTCCTATGGGGTCACTATGAGTTGGAATCAACTCAATGACAATGGTTTATATCTTTTTATATGTATAACCCTAGACTTTAGGAACTTTAAGTACAGGGATTATGCCCTAGACTTCTTTGTATTTCTAGTATCTAACATAATGTAGATGTTCAATACATGTTTCATTAGGTTACAGATGATACTGAGAGTGATGGACTACAGTCACCTTTGGAAAATTGTGGCTAATATGTCAACTGATTATTTTTCTTTATTTTATAGGTACATTTAGAGAAGAACAGAAATGCACATACCAATCAGTGATGCAAGGCTATATCTGTAAACAGACTGACCAAGTGGTCCTAATTCTTGACAATGCTGATGTCAGTTCGGTGATCAGGAAGTTATATCCGGTTGTATCTGTGACTGGTGGTTTTGTGGATACTTTTAGTAGTGTGAATCATACTGTCTGCTCTACATCAGGCTCCGTATCTACTTTCTATTCCATTTTACCCACCAGGCAAATCACAAAGATCTGCTTTATGGATAAGACTCCTCAAGTTTTGCGTTTTTTTCTTTTGGGGAATGACATCACCTCCAAGTTTCTCTTGGCTGTATTCTACCATGAACTCCAGGGACCCCATGTTTTCATAAGGGAAAGTTTCATTTCACCTACTCTGGTTCAGTCAGCTTCTTCACTGCTGGATGAGTCTACTGGTGCCAACCACTTCAACGTCATGGATAACCTCTTGTATGTTGTCCTACAAGGAAAGGAGCCTATTGAAATACGCTCAGGTGTTTCCATTCATTTGGCTTTCACTGTGATGTTTTCAGTCGTGGAAAAAGGCTGGGAAACAGTGATCCTTCAAAGACTAACTGACTTCCTACAGATTGGCCAAGACCAAATCAGAATTATTCATGAGATGCCTGGCAATGAAGAGACCATAAGGGCCATTGCTGACAGTGGGGCGAAAAGAAAACGCAATTGCCCAACTGTGGCTTGTGCCAGTCATTATAGAAGAGTTGGTCAACGTAGACCTCTCATGATAGAGATGAGCTCATATAGGGTCAAACCACTAACCACTGTGGAGACAATTTCAAAAGTGATGGTCATTGAAATTGGTGACTTACCAATAGCAAGGAACATGGGGCTGATTCCATCCCTATCAAGTAACAAACTACAGAATTTGGCTCACCAGGTTATTACTGCTCAACAGACTGGAGTGCTAGAAAACGTCCTGAATGTGACTATTGGGACCTTAATGGTGACTCAGTCAAAAGGAGTCATTGGCTATGGGTAAGTACTAATTATAACAACACCTAAATGAGGGCAGATCCCTTGGGCCTATATTACAAATGTCAATCTACTTCCGCTGAATCACATAACCAGTTTACTTCTTAAGATAAGAATAAAAAATTAAATAGTCAAACAGATTTAAATTCTCAGTTTTAAAATTCTTGATCAAATCCACACTCTTCATAATTATTCTATTTCCCAGGGTATTGGAGAGGTTATATTTTAGTACCTTCAAGTACAAATTATGTAGAAAGGGATTTTTCGAAAGTAACTTGTTTTTAGTTCATTAGTTCATTCATTCATGCAATGAATTTAAGCAGTAGGCTAGGTTCTGGGGTTGCAAAGGTAAAACAGATAGGATCTTTATTCTAAGGGACAAAAACACCATTTATCAGAATACCATAAAGCTATGCGCTAAAATCTGAACACTGAGGGTGATGGAAAAAATTCTGCCTGTAGGGACTGAGGAAGGATCTTTAATTTAAAAAATTTTGGAGAGTTGACCAGGAATTTACTAGGCTAAAGCAGTGACCCCAACTGGGTTTTACTTAATATAGGATTACAATGCCCCCAAAAGGATACTTTTGTCAAGTTGTGTAAGGCAGGAGCATCATTGCTGCCAACTATGTTTATGGCACAGACCTGTATGTTACCTGTAATGTACTTTGTTTTATGTTATCCTGACTCTCTACAGGCTTGTATTTTGAAGTCCTCCACCAGCTTTGTATCTAATACATATTTCAGAAGTAAATTTACCTGAGTTTTCCCGGTGCTTAGGAAACAAAGAAGTGCATGAAGTATACAATAAGGGAATGACAAGTGTAAATTACTGTCACTTTCATAGACTGAGTTAGCCAAAGAATTAATTGACCAGCCCAAGTTCATCTAAAGCATCAAGCACAAAGTCAGAACAGTTAAAGTCATCAGCTCCAATTTTTAGCAAATGCAA